TTTTAAGGAAAAATCTAAATAACATGTGTTGAATCCAAAAGTATCTGGGACACACACCCAATGAATGAAACGTTCTGTTAGGACATGATTAGGAGAGAGAGAAAAGCTATAGACTTAAAAAAAGTGTGTTTTATTCATGATATAGGCCCCAATTTATAGGCCTATGTCATAATATTATAAAAGTAGATATTAAGCTTCTCATTATTAACTTTTCAGGGGAACTTTGTTTGGTAATTACAAAGTTATTTGTATATAATAAGTCTAGGCGCCGATTCAGTCGATGAGGATTGTTGATTGTCCAACAAGCCTTGATTCGATCGATATAAAGTTAGAAAGAGTGCTTCCTGTCGATCGTTCTGAAAGCTGATTACCACCTTGTTGGAGCTTCTCCCAACACCTTCTGCCAATCATTCAGATAAGGTGCTTCCTCTACCAATATTCATCTGGAAATGATCGTCGAAGACTATGCTCGACCATTTGTATCTTCTTCTTGAGCCGTCCATCTGTTTTGAGAATCATGCAGACATATTTTTTTATTTACAATATTAAAAAAGAAACTTGGTTAATGCATAATAAAAACGACAGTCATAATCATCAAGAAAAAAACTAACTTAAATGGGGCTCTCTCTTCAGCCAGGCATGTTAAATATTAAACCCAAACAAGAATGACAAAAACATTCCAAACCGGACACCCCTACTCGGACACACACAGATTGAGTGTGAGTAATCGAACCCTATTGGCCGTATATGAACACATTGAATGCAAAAGTTAAGAAGAAACATTCTCATAAATGAAGCAACATGTGCTCAAGGATACTCTTGAGTTGCAACCCATTTGATGACTCCATAACTTGGGGAAGGAATCCTCATGGAAGATCTGAGATTAAGTAATGATGTGACTATACAAGTAACAATTATTCATAAGAGTCTAGGAATGACCTATGCTTATTTTATATTAAAAAATGCTGCTAAAAATGAAGAAATTGAATGCAAACGGGACATATCATTTTCCCCTTATAAGAGAACTCTCTTAAAGTAAGAATAGTTGTTAGGTATGACTCATATAACAGAATTTGGAGTCTCTTGGAGTTAAGAGATGTGTTTCTTGATTGAACAAGTGTGTCTCCTGGAATGAAAATGAGTCTCTTGGAATTTAGTGGGTTGGGGGGAGCGAGGGCGAGTTCGTAATTTTATCTGTGGGTTTTTTATCTATATATATGATGTATAACCCTATGGGTATGTAACTTAGACTCCTCTGAAATAGTGAAATTCACCGCTCTGCTCCCGAGGACGTAGACATATTTGCCGAACCTCGTTAAATCTCTTTGTGTTCTTCTGGATTTGTGTTGGATTTTGTTTTTTCTTTGCCCTAAATTTCTCAAAAATTGGTATCAGAGCGAGGTTCTAGGGCAGGAAAGAAAAATTTGACGGCGCAAGAAGTAAGCAAAACTATTTTGGGGATTTGGCAAGAGAAGTTTGGGCGGTTTTCAGCAGGCTTTGGCGACTTCGGTGAAGTCTTTTGGTTCGCAGCAGTTCGAATCACGGCTCTGGGCTTCTTTGGCGCTAACAGAGAGTTTGAGCAGGGACATGCTAACATACGAGGTTGCAGTTTGCGACAGTTTTAACGAGACAAATAAGCGATTAGAGCTTCAAACAGACTTCGGTGGTTCGGCGCAGGAAGTGCAGGCGAGGGATTAACAAATTGCGGCATTCAGAGACTGCAACCAGTTGAAGTTCAACGAGGAGGTTGCGAGTTGTTCCCGCGATCAGGCGAGGATTTGCGACTAGCGGTACTTCACGACAAAGGCAATCAGACCAAACTTCTTCGCTCGACCAAGAGAGAAGGCAGAGTTCACAGAGGAAAGGGCAAATCACTGCAGGAGTAATCGTGGTTCAATTTGCGGCAGATTCACGCTACAAATTTGGAGTTAACACGTCCGAGTTTGGTTCTTCGACAACCAATGGGCCTTCAAGCCGCGACAATTCACGATTCACGACATTCGGCTAGGTGGAGTTCATGAACATGAGTTCACGTACAGCTATCGCGAACATGAGTATTTGCAAACAGAGTAGTTCAGTGGAGCAAATTTGTCGCATGAAAAGTTGCGACAGTGGAGTTCACGACAAGTGGAGTTGGAAAGGTTGCAGGCGAAGCGAGCAGGTTTGAATATTCATGAATATTTGTTTCGAGGAGGTATTTCGCGAAGGGTTTTGTTTAAGGGACAGTCGGGACCGCAGTTTAGTTGAGGTGTTGATGCAAACAAGAAAAGTGAAAAAGTTCACTGCAAGATTAATTTCAAAAAGCAATGTCTGTTAAAAAATTCGAGATAGTGAAGTTCGATGGAACCGAGAACTTTGGATTGTGATAAATAAGGGTGAAAAATTTGTTGGCAAAACAATGAATTTTGAAGGTTTTGCGGGCTACGAAACCTAATAATATGGAAGATAAATATTGGGAAGAATTGCAACTACGAGCGGCATATACCATACATTTATGTCTGACAGATGGGATTATGTATCATGTTATGAATCTGAAATCTCCATGAGAATAAATTATATTTGAAGCAAAGACTGTATGGGCTGAAGATCCAATCAAACACTGATCTTGCACAGCAATTGAATGTCTTCAATCAAATAATCACAGATATGACACAACTTGATATGAGTATTGAGGATGAAACCGAACAATAATTTTGTTACGTTCATTGTCTTCTTTTTATGAACACCTAGTGACTACTCTGACATATGAGAAAGAAACTATCAAAGTTGATGAGATTACTTCAGCATTGTTGGCTCACAACCAGCGGAAACAGAATATAAGGGAAAGCTCTCATAGTGATAGTTTATATGTTAAGGGTAAGTAGGATCGTGGAAGGAAGGAGGAGAAAGAGAGCTTTGGAATGCAAAATTCCAGGTCAAAGCCTAAGGGCAAAAAGATGATTCATTGCTATAAGTGCAAGGAGTCAGGACATGTGAAGAAAGATTGTCAAAAACTCAAGAAACAGTTTGATGAGAAACATGATGTATCTTTCAAGTTCATGAATATGGTGCAGAGTGACAATTCATATTGCTGTGATGGTGATGTACTTTCAGTTACAACAACTCAGTTGAATGATGCATGAATTTTTAATTCTGGATGCTCTTATCACATAACAACTAACAGAAAATTATTTACTTCATACATGTTATCTGATTCCGGTTCAATCTATTTGGGTGATGATAGATGTTACAATATTGTTGGTATTGACAAAGTCAGAATTAAGATGTATGATGACATTGTCAGATCATTATGTGATGTAAGACAAACTCCATATTTGAAGAAGAATTTTATTTTTTTGGACATTTTACACAGAAATTGTTTTATCCCTGAGACAAATGAGGATAGAGAAACCATTAGAATTGTTAAAGTGCATTGACTGTGATGAAAAGAAAAATCACTGCAGGTAATATCTATAAACTGTTAGAGAATACAGTTGTAAGTAGAGTTTACTCTGTTGAATCATGTGATGAAAATGCAACAGATATGTTGACCAAACCAAGTACTATCAACAAGTTCTTGCATTGCTTGAATTTGTTGAATGTTCGCAATTGTTTGATGACATGGTTGTCCAAGCCACTTCGGTGTAAGAAACTCCATGATGTTTTTATTTCTCCTAAGGGGCTGGATATTCACAAAGGTGGAGATTTGTTGTGTATATGTATTTCTCCTAAGGGGCTGTATATTAACCAATGTAGATTTGGAGATTTGTTAGGTATAGCTCATATACCAGAATTTGGAGTCTCTTGAAGTGAAGAGATGTGTCTGTTGGTTGAAGAGGTGTGTCTCCTGGAATGAAAAAGAGCGTCTCTTGGAATTTAGTGGGTTGGGGGAAGCGAGGGTGAGTTGATAATTTTATTTGTGGGTTTTTTTATTTAGATATATGATGTCTAACTCTATGGGTATGTAACTTGGACTTCTCTGAAATAGTGAAATTCGTTGCTCTGCTCCCGAGGACGTATGCATCTTTACCGAACATCGTTAAATCTCTATGTGTTCTTCTGGATTTGTGTGATTATTGAATCCTCTTTTCAATAATGTAAATTTCTCAACAACATTCCTCCTCTGTCCTCTTTTCTCCCATACTCTACACTCTTCCTCTCTTTCTTCTTTCTCGTGCTCGATGATTAAGTACTTGATTGAGATTTTTTATTGAGATATGAATCTCTTTGATGTTTCTATGTCTCTACTCTGCACATCTTATCTTACACAAAATATCCATCATCCTAATTGAATGCGATATGCCACCCAAACTAATTCAAAGTTCTCAACTTTTATTTTTTCTCTATTTTAATGGAGATCCAGGCGACAACAACGGAACACTAGTGAGATAGAAGATTATGCGATCACAGAGAGAGAGAGAGAGAGAGAGAGAGCACGTCCAGTTTAGACTCGTCCATTGACATAATAATTTTATATATCTTGAGGAAATCTGAATGAGGTGTTATCAAAGAGGACCTATCAATGATTAAATTATACAACATATGAGTTACAAATGATCGTCAGACCAGTTCCTTTAAAGTATAGTCCAAAGCTGGTCGACAGATTACAAAAGTCGATCGGCTAACAAGGGTCGAGTCACCGACAAATAGCTTCAGACGACCGCCCTTTGAATCCGACAGAGCCTGCCGAACCACCTCTCGTGGACCCAAGGATTGCTGGCCACAGACAGACTATTCTCAAGAAGAGCCAATTTGAAGATTTATTTATTTATTTATCCATTTACACTTGTATTTAAATTTTTATTCAAATCTTTTTAAAGCTTCAAATATGAAGAACTTCTCCATACATACACACACACACACACACACACATATATATATACACACACACACACACACACACACACACACACACACACACACACACACACACACACACACACACACACACACACACACTCGTGAGGTTTTTTTGTTAAATGTGAACATGTAAATCCCCCCCATAATTAAAAGCGTTAATCACAAAATGCAATTGGGTACATTCTTTCAGTCGTAAAATACCTTCAGTTTCTTCTCTTCAAAAAATCCCCAGCTTTTTCTCCTTTCCCGTCTCCTCATCTGTCGGGCATCTTTCTTCTCCGGCGATGGCATCCTCGGCGACGGAAGATAACTTCTACATGGCAAAGCTTGCCGAGCAGGCGGAACGCTACGAGGAGATGGTAGACTTCATGGAGAAGGTAGTCAACTCTCTCCCTGAGGGCGTCGAGCTCTCAATCGAAGAGCGCAACCTACTCTCGGTAGCCTACAAGAATGTCGTTGGCGCTCGCCGGGCTTCGTGGCGCATCGTTTCATCGATTGAGCAGAAAGAAGAAGGCCGCGGTGCGAGCGATCGCGCCGCCGCTGCCCGCGATTATCGGTCGAAGATCGAGGCCGAGCTTTCTTCGATTTGCACTGGGATCCTTCGTTTACTTGAATCGCGACTAGTTTCATCCGTCTCCAATGCGGAGTCCAAGGTTTTTTATCATAAAATGAAAGGCGATTACCATCGCTATCTCGCGGAGTTCAAGACTGGCGATGAGAGAAAGGAAGCTGCTGAGAATACGCTTTCTTCTTATAAGGCCGCCCAGGTAAGATGCTGATCGGTTAGGGTTTAGGGCATTGTCATGGATCCCTATCGCTTGCATTCGATATATTCTAGGGTTAGGGATTTGAAATACCAACTTGAAGGCTGTTAAGTCTTTTGTTGATATCAAAATTGTTTAAAATATTTAAAATTTTTTCTCACGTTATCAATCTTGCAGGAGATTGCTGCGGCAGAATTGCCCTCGACGCATCCGATCCGGCTTGGTCTCGCGTTAAATTTTTCTGTATTCTACTACGAGATATTGAATTCTCCTGAGAGGGCCTGCAACATGGCTAAGCAGGTTAGAAATGACGATCACATTTGTTTTATTTTTGAGAAGGATTTGTTAACATTCTAATGATTTTCTTGTTACCAATCATTTTTTCTTCTCAATTAATAAATTAGACTTTACTCATTTGGTTGCTTGAAGATAGAAACCATGGTTTTGAATGGCGACAAAGTTTTTTAGATTTTTTAATTTGGTTGGAAACAAATATCAAATTTTAACTGTGCAAACTCCTTTAAAATATACTAATAGTGATGATTTTATTTTTACGCTCAAAATGAATGAGAACAAAATTCTTACTTTTGAAAATGTGTTTTCTACCTACAAGCAACCGAATGAAGACAAAATCTTTACATATTAAAACATGTTTTTTCTCTACAAGCAACTGAATGAGCCTTAATGAATTTTAATATGTTCTTCTTCTCTATAGAACTTATTTTCTTCTTCTCTATAGGACAACTATTGCCATGCAATCTTGTTTGCACAACATCAACAAAATCAACAAGCCTTTATCCCACTAAGTGGGGTAGGCTAAATGAATCCTTTTTTTCCATTGTGTCCTATTAAGTGTCATATTTTCTTTTAATTCCAATAAATTAAGATCATTTTATATATAATATAGCCAAGTCTTTCTATCAGAGGATCGACGTTTAATGTGACCAAACCATCTACGACGGCTCTTTCTAAAGTTATGCAACCCAACTCTATCACGGATATATTCATTTCGCATTTTGTCTCTAAGTGTCAAGCCACTTATCCACCTAAGCATTCTCATCTCAGCAACACTTACCTTTGTTTTATGCTTCACCTTTAAAGACCAACATTCTGCGCTATAAAGAATGCAGGCCTCACCACCAGCTTATAAAATTTTCCTTTCAGTCTAAACAGTGCTTTTCTATCACACCATAGGCCCGATGCATTCCTCCACGTCAACCAACCAACTTGAATTCTACTAATAACATCTTCATTCATATCACCGTCAGTTTGAACAATGGACCCGATATATCTAAAGCATTCACACCTTTTAATGATTTGATCATCTATAATTACAACTCTGCCACTAGAGCCACTACTGGTAAAATCACATTCAATGTATTCAGTTTTAGTTCTACTCAAACGAAGGCCTTTAGTCTCCAATGTAGATCTTCATAATTCAAGTTTTTCCTGAACTCTTTCTCTAATCTTATCCATAATAAAAATATCATCAACGAAAAGTATACACTAATGTAAATCCTCTTATAAATGTCCAGTATGAGCATTAATAACTAGAGCAAAACGATATTGGGCTTAAAGTATCATCAACTATTTTTTTACAAATGCGAAGATTAAAGTAAAATATTTTATTATTATTAACGATATTAGGATCACTAATGTCGATCGTATTTTCAAAAACTTCATTAAAAGTTCATCAAAATTGCTCACCCACCTATGCTGAGTATTTTTTTCTAACAAAAATACTTTTTGATATTCATCTTTTTCTAATAAAAATACTTTTTAATATTCATCTTTAATACACTTTTACTTAAGTTAAATCTTTACTTTATTTTTGTTTTCTCTTTGTTTGCCTATTATATATATATATATATATTCCGTCTTTAGTATCTAATCTATTATAAAGATCACTAAAAACATAATTTTCAGAATCACAAATTGTTCTCTTAGACTTTCTACGGGCCATATTGTATTTTTCTCAGTTCTCGAAGCTTTTACATTTAAAATAATTTTTGTAACACAAATTATTATATTTTATCTTTTTTTTGCACAATATTATTCTACCACTAACTTTTTTTTATAGAAAATTTTCCTTTTGATTCTCCAGGTACATCTTTTGATATTTTTTAATAGTTTTGTTACTTTATCTCACATATAATTTGTTTCTTCATGAACATACAAAATCTTTAAATATTGAAGTTTACTCATGAAAAAAAAAATTATTTGTCTTTTAGGTGCTCATCTAATTCTATGACAATGACTTCTAATATTTTTTTTCTTATAACTCTTCATATTAAAATACATAATGAATAATTGATGTTGAGTATTTAAATTTCATTGAGAATGACCTTACAATATTTATATTTTTGACGATCACTTTTTGTCATAAGAAAATATTCAATTTGTGTTTTATTGGTTCTATTCTTATAAGCAATAATATGCTTATTTCTTTTCTTAAATAAAATATTCGCAACAACATAATCATTCGATAAAACAATACATAATATGATTTTACCTTCTTCATTAATCACTCAAATACTGTAGCCACCATGAATTTTTCTAAAATCTTCTACCTTTCTATCAATATGTTTATTTAAATCTCCCCCAATAAATTTTTTTTTTCAAGATGTGTCATTTGTATGAATTCTTTTAAGTGATTCCAGAATTTTTCTTTAGAACTTATATCTAAATCTACTTGAGGAGTATAAACACTTATAATATTAAAAATTTTAGTATCAACAATAATCGTAAGGACTATAATTTTATATCCAATTTTATTAATTTTTACAACAGTATCTTTCAATTTCTTATGTGTAATTACATATACACCATTTCTAATGTGACTCCTACCTGAAAGCCAAAGATTGAAACCTAAGGTATCAATCTCCCAGCCTTTTCTCCAACCCATTTAGTTTCTTGCAATCTTATTTGAACAAAAAAGAAAGAAATGTGGGCGCATTGTGGGGATTTGCTTGATGTTTATCTTGCAATTTTTACAAATTTTTTGTGATTCATAACCTTTGATACAAGTTTAAATTTGGATAGGGCTGGGATATTTTCTTAATGACCAATCATATTATTTGAAAAAAAGTATTAGTGTCTAGGAATTCTTTTTTGTAGAAAAGTGAATATATAGATAAAGATGCAACTTCTAGAGTCGAGACTTAGCGGTTGATGAGTAAGTATCCTGAGGAAATTTTTTTGATAAGTGAATATCATGGAGATTTAAAGTTTACAAATAAAGCAGTGAAATAATAGTTCGACAACAAATTATGTTGCAGGATTGTAATATTACACGGTAAATAAGCTGTCTGATAATGAAACTGTGTGTGAAAAAAGAATAAGTATTTTAAGATGATTTCATGCATAATAGGAAGGTGATGTAGAATTCTGTCTATTTCCGCGACTATTTGTGTTTCAGTGGCTTCTTGATGGCGAAGTATCATAATGCATCTGCAATTTATCTTGTCAATGACCAATAATGCCCTCCAAATTTAAACATTCTCTGTTATTTTAGCATAGTTTCCTATATTTGGGTTTTTGGTGAGATTTCCTGCTGGTTCAAGAATGTTTTCTTGACAGATTTTGCTTGATTGTCATGCGACTTCTTATGAGATTTTTGTGCTCCACTTTTATGTTTTGATAATCTATAAATTAGCTTTCTTTGTTTTGTACAAAATGAAGTAATTTTCAAATAGTTTTGTAGTTGGACATGCAACGAGTGATATTCTTGAACAAGCACAAGACTAAATATTTTATTGATAAAATTTTTTAGTGTAAATATGGGGCTGGATATTTTTTGGGTTTTCTATGAGTTTTTGAGTTCAATTAATTTTATGGGGACATTCCTCTAAATTAACGTGTTGTATTTCTTTCTGTAAAATATTCTAGTTTTGGTGTTTATGGGATGCAAATTTGAGTGTTTTTATGTGATTTTGTTCATCTCTTTGTAAGTCTACACGCTAAGATAACCTATGTCACACTTGACATATGATACTTAGGGTCTGTTCGGGGCAGCTGCAGCTTATCTAGTTTATGTTGATAATCAGTTTTTTCTGATAATCTGTTGATGACCAACTGATTCGGATAAGCTGACTGACTGTTTGGTTAGTGCGTTTTCATAACAGCTGATTCTGAGTAAATGACCAATCTGTCTCTGTTCTGGATAAGTTGTTTAGTTATTTGGTTCGTGCGTTTTGTAAACAACTGATTTGTAGATTTTTTAGTTAAATGACCAGTCTGACACAGAATTGGTATTGCTCATAATAAAACTACATTATCTACCACTGTGCTAATTTAGAAACAATTAACTCACTTCATTCTCATTTGACACTAATAGCTCATTGAAAATTTGATATTTACAAATTTATCATCTTTCTTACTGCAATCAGATAGTGGAGATAAACGTAAAAAATCATGAATTTATAGGAAATGATTCGATCGAACAGTAGCAGTCACAATCTGAACTATATTGGTTGGCTTATGTCATCTGCTATTTGCTCTCTCAAAGCTGCCATTTCCGAAGCACCTTCACCATCTGGGTGTGTGCCTCTACTGAATCAAGTTCGAGTTGTGGTATGATACGTCTCACAGTATTTCAATGCCTCAGGTGGTATCTGCAGTAAATCTTCTTTTACGACGACAAATTCTGCATCCGCTCTGGAATGATGTCGTCGAATGAAGTTGTGCAATGCTAATGTGACTACTACTATCTGGATTTGTTTTGGAAATGGATAAGTTGACATATCACGTAAAATAACTTATTTCTTCTTCCATACCTTGAATGATCTCGATGACACCGCGCAAGGATGAATGCCTTTTGTTAAATATTTCTTTCTTGCATCGTGCAACTCCGTTTGATCTTTCAAAATAAGGGATATGATATCTTGTATCCGTATATGGCTTCAATATCCCCTTTGTAAGGGGTACCCGACATCAACCAAATAGTACTTCCCTGTTTATGTTTTTCGTATTTAGCAATTTTAGAAAAAAATATGTCCAAAAGTAAAACACAATTGTCATACCTGGTGGTGGATAAGGGAAACCATATCTTCTGTTTCTAGTGACAAACTTGAAAACACGGCTGTCGTGTGCGCTACATTCCCATCTAACCATCACAAAGGTGAAACACATGTTGAAATCACACACAACCATAACATTTTGTGTTGGGGATTCGCACCGTCCGATGTATGAAGCCTTCTCTGTGCCAGCAAGACGTGCATCGACATGTGTTTCTTCTATAGCTCCGATGCAGTCCTGTGGTGCACGAAATACTCAATAAAAAAATCACATGTGTACTATTG